GTAGTAGTACTACTACTACTACTACTACTACTACTACTACTACCCTCGTAGTCGTAGTCGGAGTCGAGTCCTGACCGAACTGATCTGGATCTTAAGCTCGAGCTGCCTGAACACATAGAAGCTGCCCCAGAGCTAATGACAGGGGACATGCCAGGAGGACGCGCCGCGAAACGTCCCAAGGGACGCGCCAGGCGACGTGCCAGGGGACGTGCCATGGGGACGCACCGCGGGACGTGCCAAGGGGACGCGCTACGGAACGTGCTGGGGACAAGCGTTTCGCTCGAGACATCCTGTCAAAATCCTCATTCTAGACATCCGCCTGAGCGACCTGGACACGTGAAAACGAACGTTTCGCTCAACACATCCTCAACACATTCTCATGCTAGACATCCGCCTGGGCGAACTGGACACGTAAAAACAAGTAGTTCGCTCGAGCCATCCTCAACACATCTTCATGTGAGACGTCCGCCTGGTTGACCTGGGCACGTGGAAACAAGCGTTTCGCTCGAGCCGTTTTCAACACCTCCTCATTCTAGACATCCGCCTTGGCGACCTGTACACGTGAAAGCAAACGTCTCGCTCGAGACATCCTCAACACATCTTCATGTTAAACATCCGCCTGGGCGATCTGGACACGTGAAAACAAGCGTATATCTCGAGACATTCTCAACACATCCTCATGCTAGGCATCCGCCTGGGCAACTTGGACACGTGCAAACAAGCATCTCGATTGAGACTTCCTCAACACCTCCTCATTCTAGACATCCGCCTGGGCGACGCGGACGCGTGAAACCAAGCGTCTCGCTCGAGACATCCTCAACAAATCCTGGCGCTTGACCTCTGCCTGGGCAACCTGGAGGCGTGAAACCAAGCGTCTCGCTCGAGACATCCTCAAGACCTGGGCACGTGAAACCAAGCATTTCACTTGAGAGATCCTCTAAATTCTGGTCTCCAGGAGAGGACAATCTATAACACAAAACAAGCGTTTCGCTCGAGACATCCTCAACAAATTCTGAAAACAAGCGTTTCGCTAGGGACATCCTCAAATTTTAATTCGCCGGCCCTCTTCCCACTCGTTATTTATCACAAAAGAAATCCGCCGGCCCTCTTCCCGTCAGACCCGGGGGTAAACCCACTAAAAGAGAACCCTGGGCGTAAGCCCTTTCCGGGAAAAACGGTTGTACGGCCTACATCCTCTCGTCCCAACGTTTTGCTACACCCTCATCGCCGTGATGCGCGCACCAAGCCGCCATGAGCTTGCCAAATGCCGTGCCGGGCCGCATCCTGAACGGCAGCACGTGCTCCCCAGTCGCACATCCCACCGCAGCGACGTGGATATGCACGGAAGCCATGGGGACTCGAAGCCCGCCAGGCCGCAGCTTCCGAGAGAGGAAGCAGAAGGAAGTCCCGATCACCACCAACAGCAACGCAACTAATATGTTACTGTATCACCCTCCTGGCTGGCAGCATCGCGCTTGCGCAATGATTGTCATCGCAAATGCGACCACCACCACCCCACACCACCTCTGATGACATGGGCGTGGATGGTCAAAACATGATGGACCCACGAACCCGGAAAGGGATATAGACATGTGGAGCATGGACACGTTTTCATGATACCCAACTGGGCAACACCTCACGAAACATCCCACGAGACACCTCACGAAACAGCCCACGAGACACCTCACGAAACATTCCACGAGACACCTCACGAAACATTTCACGAGACACCCCGCGAAACATTCCACGAGACACCCCACGAAACATTCCACGACGACAGGCAACCACTCAACCAAGGCGGTGTGGTCGTGCTGGGGAGTGGTCGTGCTGGGGTGTGGTCGTGCTGGGGGGTGGTCGTGCTGGGGGGTGGTCGTGCTGGGGGGGTGTCGTGCTGGGGGTGGTCGTGCTGGGGCGTGGTCGTGCTGGGGCGTGGTCGTGCTGGGGCGTGGTCGTGCTGGGGCGTGGTCGTGCTGGGGCGTGGTCGTGCTGGGGTGTGGTCGTGCTGTGGTAAGGTCGTGCTGGGGTGCGGTCGTGCTGGGGTGTGGTCTTGCTGGGGTGGGGTCGTGCTGGGGTGTGATCGTGCTGGGGTGGGGTCGTGCTGGGGTGTGGTCGTGCTGGGGTGTGGTCGTGCTAGGGTGGGGTCGTGCTGGGGTGGGGTCGTGCTGGGGTGTGGTCGTGCTGGGGTGTGGTCATGCTTGGTCGTGCTGGGGTGGTCGTGCTGGGGTGTGGTGCTGGGGTGGGGTCGTGCTGGGGTGGGGTCGTGCTGGGGTGGGTTCGTGCTGGGGTGCTCCGCACCCTGTGATTTATCGATCGTGGTCGTGCTGGGGTGTGGTCGTGCTGGGGTGTGGTCGTGCTGGGGCTGTGGTCGTGCTGGGGCGTGGTCGTGCTGGGGCGTGGTCGTGCTGGGGCGTGGTCGTGCTGGGGTGTGGTCGTGCTGTGGTGAGGTCGTGCTGGGGTGTGGTCGTGCTGGGGTGTGGTCTTGCTGGTCGTGCTAGTGGTCGTGCTGGGGCGTGGTCGTGCTGGGGCGTGGTCGTGCTGGGGTGTGGTCGTGCTGTGGTGGTCGTGCTGGGGTGGTCGTGCTGGGGTGTGTGCTGGTCGTGCTGGGGGGGTCGTGCTGGGGTCTGGTCGTGCTGGGGTGTGGTCGTGCTGGGGTATGGTCGTGCTAGGGTGGGGTCGTGCATTTCGCTCGAGACATCCTGCCAAAATTCCAGGAAATCGTACAAAAACAAACAAATTAGTCGAAACATCATCGAAATTCCTTCGCGCGGGGCGCTTTTCCGCGTCGCGGTCGGCTCTGCAAAACAAGCGTTTCGCTCGAGACATCCTCGGCAAACTCTGCGGAGCAAGCGTTTCGCTCGAGACATCCTCAACACACGAAAAAGTGGCCCGCACCCTGTGATTTATCGATCGGGATTTCAAAAACAAGCGTTTCGCTCGAGACATCCTCAAATTTTAATTCGCCGGCCTCCTTCGACCTCGTTATTTATCAGGGAAAAAATTCGCCGGCCTCCCTCAAGTTGGCACCGGGGGACAGGTTTACCTACTAAAAGAGAACCCTGGGCCCACGCCCTTTCCGGGAAAAAGGGTGGGCCAACTTTGTAGCAGGCACTCTAGCCGGACTTCCTGCAGAGTATCATTCTAGAATAAAAGAAAACTGCGCAAACTTAAGCTTTCGGAGCTCCGCGCGAATTTCTTAAATCGGCGCTGGGACCCAAATTCCGCGCGGACAGTCGCAAGTATGTTTACGCCGTGCTTTCTTCTCCGGCATCCGGACCCCTCCAGGACTGGTAGTGGAGAAGGGGGCCTTCTTCTGTCCTCCGATTCTGGCGAGGCCAGTGGCAGACTCGACACGCGCGCCTCCTGCGCAGAGCGTCATGCCAGCAGACATGGCCGGCAGAGAAGCTCGAGCCGTGACGGCCTGGAGGGCAGGAGAGCTAAGAGCTTGAGTCCAACGAACGAAAACACCAAAAAGATACGCGATGCCGGGCACTGTATGCATATACTATTTTAGTAGAAAGGGTGCCGTCGCAAAGATTGCTGTCGCACATGGCGCATAAGGGATCTTGTGAAAGCGGACCATGTCTATCGTGCCTATTCTGCGCCTCCACATTCCCCCAAATGAGCACGGGCGCGCGGATCCAATCCCAAGGGCGTTCACAAGAGTCCCGCACAAGGCGTCCAATGTATATTATATGTACATATATATATATATGTATGTATGTATGTATGTATGTATGTGTGTGCGTGTGTTAGCCCATGCGGGCCCCACATAATACATTATATGTTGTGCACTCTATGTGGTGTTATCGTTGCTGTGCAGTCTATGTCGTGCAATGTATGTATATTTATATATATACATACAGTGCGATCTACGTCGTGCAGTCCATATCGTGGCGGTGCTGCCCATTCTATATCTACATACATACGCATTACAATATATATATATATATATACACATATATATATATATGTGTGTGTCGTACAATCGATGTGTGTGCAACGCGTGTTAGGCAATTTATGTGGTACAACCTACGTGGTACAGTCTGCGTCGTGCAAACTGTATTGTGAGCGGTAAAAAAAAGCGCGCCGCTGGCACGAAATACATCGCGCGATCTATGTGATGCAGCCTATGTTGTGCAATGTTGTCGGTGAAATCTTTGTGGTGAACCCATGCGGTGCAATAAAGGTGGTATAAAGAATGCTGTGCAATATCCGATGGTCAATATATTTGATTGTCAAGCGTATTGAGCGCAAACTATTTGATGATGTGTATACACGGTGCGAAATTGGAACGGCGCCTGCATTTTGTTCATATGTGCATATTCGTGCGGTGCTGCCGTCGACGGTGTGCAGTGCATGTGGTGGTAACTATGCTGTGAAAATGTCTGGCGCAGTCTATGCTCGCAGCGATATAATCAAACAAAGCCCAGAAAAATGCGCCGCAGGCGCGGTGCGATCCAGCAGCGGCGACAGACGGCGACGAGGCGACGGCGGGGCGGGGACGGCGGCCACACAGCCGCTGGACCGAAGCCACGGCCCAGACGACTGGCGGCAACGAGGCGGCGACGGAGGGGCGACGGCGGCCACCGAGCCGCCAGACGGAAGACACGGCTCAGCTCCTAAGAACAGAAGTTAGAGCCTGTAAGTGCAAGCACTGCTTGGTACATATACATATAAAACATATCATGTGTACACATCTGTTTCTATATTTATATATATATATATACATCGCTATGTGTGTGTGTGTAAATCGACCGCCTGGGGAGTCGATATCCCAGGACCCCAGGATGGGATTGATGTGTTTGGGCCTCTTGGGGGCCTACAATTCTCCAGATCCACCGCCCGGTGGAACCTTGGGACATTGGTTCACCGGGCGGAAATTCTAGAGCCTGGCCTCGAAGAAGAGCTGTATGGATGGGGGGAATCTGGAGGGCATTCCAACATCGGGGGAAATCCTTGCGAAGGCAAGGGCGGTCGCGTGGAGCGCGAAAGAAGGTGACCGTTTCCGGGACCGCGACTTCTTGTCTTTCTCTTTCTCCTTCTCCTGGCGGAAGAGGGGGGAAGGAAGAGCGACGGAAACGCAACCCGATGCCGCGTCTCAGGCTGGCCCTCTGATGTTAGACAACCAGCAAAGAAACAGATCATGCTCCAAACCATTCAAACAAAAATGTGCTCATAGATTTTGGCATCGAGCCAACAACAGCGCTGTAACGGCTGCGATCCGTATTGCGTCCGAAAAGAAATTCAACGACCAGCCTTCCACACTGTCACAAGACCGTTTTAACAAACAAGTGTGAATACATTGGCGCTCGTGCTGCTCGTTCCCCCAACCACGTAATCGTGCATCGGCGATGCGGCGCGATCCTCCGACCCCATCCACTTGGACCCCATCTGGGATACCTGTATGATTTGATGTGCCTACTGTACAGATCCCCCCGGCCCTCCTTCTGCGGCTTCTCGACGTCCTCGCCTGGGGGGGGCACCCTCCGGTCCAGTCTGATGCACGGCCTGACCCTGCGTGACCTTGATCTGGCCGGCCCGGTCCGCCCGACCGAGGCGAGCACCCTGCTGATCGAAGATCCCAACCAATCGACGGATCAGCGACCTGATTGAGCCCGAGTCGACAGATCAGGGACTTCTAAGGTCCACGCTTTTGTCTTTCCCGCCGTCCTTCTCCTTTTCCTTTTCCTTATCCTTATCCTTTTCCTTCTCCTTTTCCCTCTCCTTATCCTTCCTTTCGGCCCTTTCGGCCCTTTCGGCCTCGATTCCCAGGCCCAAGCGAGCGCACTTATTTGCACACCCCGTGCCTCCCCCTTCCCATCCACTCTCCTCCCTCCGCTCCACGTTTTCCCTCTGCCCACCACCCACCTCCACCCCGCAAGAATCTGGCCGCGGCGGCAACGCATGGGCGTCGGTGTCAGAATGTGTCCTCCTCTCATGGAAGAAAAGCTACTACATGAACGTAAGAAATCTGAAGTCCGAGCAGAATTCTTGCATCGGCGCAGGACCCCCCTGGCGGCGCAACCGGCGCCGCCCCTGGCGTGCTCCCCGCGCTGGGGATGGGGGTCCAGCGCCGACCCAGGAAATACGTGCGGACATCCGGAAGTTCATGCTTACGCAGTTTTTCTCACTCGAAACCCCTCCCCTCCCCCGCGGAGACGTCCTCGGAGACACCCTCACCCCCGGACATCCTCGGAGAACGACTCAAGTCCCAGCACCGTGATGTCACCCAGAACCCCCTCGGACCCATCCGACGGTGTGGTCACCCCACCGTTCTGGGACGCCTGATGCCCCCTCGGGGGCGGCCAAGAGGGGGGGCGTCCAAGACGGGAGGGGGGGGGGGGGGGGGGGGCAAATCGTGGCCCGACGCACGTGCGCGGCCCAGGGGGGGGGCCAGAGACGTAAAAAGAAGGGCCGCCCGGGGGCGATGTCATGGCCCACGCCCCTCCCCCCCCCCGTGGTCATCGCCCCCCTCTTGGCCGCCCCCCGGCACCTCCGCCGCGCCCCGAGGACTGGACGACCCGGAGCGGCACGCGGAGCGGGGGCCCCGCCGTCGCTCGCTCTCGCGCGCGGCAGCCCGGCCCGCAGGCCGTCGGCAGCGACCCGCCCAGCCCGCCCAGCCGACCTCAGCGATCAGAGATCTTGCTCTGAGGTCGGGTCGGGCATGTCCTCCCAAAGGCGGATCTGGGAAACATGGAGAAGCCAAGAACAGATCGTAGCAAGACAATGCTATTACTGTGCTTGCACACTCCTCCTCTACAATAGAGGGACATGCCCGACTGAACTCTAAGGAATCTGGTGGTGCATCCTTCGCCGACCTAGGCCTCGAGTTTCGCAGAGTGCCCCAGGGATCTTCGAGCCCATCTCAGAGCGAGAAGCTCTCCCGAGGACGTCCGCGCCGGTCTCCTTGGTAAAGCGCGGATCGCTCAACCTCGAGCCACCGCGGGCTTCCGACAGCGTGGCTCCTCCGACGTCGGCTGAATCCGGGCAGTGGTCGGCTTCGGGTTCGCCGAAGAGGGAGGCCACAGAAAGAGAGGACTTCGCGCATCATGATCCGAGGCATGCGCGCGGACGAGGGGGGAAGGGGGCGTCTGGAAAGAACACGAAATGGCCACGAGATCTGGGAGATCTCACGGCTGCGGCCATGGTATGCCGATATCCCTAGTCATCCTACCCACCCCCCTTTCGACACCCAGTGGTTTTCAGTCATGTCTCGGGCCTCCGCCAGGCGTGGGTTCATCCAGGCACTCCTGGAATGCCCTCGACGAGGCGCAGCTGCTGAAAAGCACCTCGAGGCGAGAAAACCTACAGGAACCGACGGAAACTCCATCACCCCCCACTTTGAGGGGCAACAATAGGGGGGGACCGGCTCGGGGGAAGAAACATCGACCTGGAATCGGCGATACATCGCCGATAGATCGGCAATGAGCCCCCGATCGCGAAAATGCAAGATCCTTCTTGTTTTTGTTGCTGCCAAGAAGACGCGGGACGGCGGGCAAGAGCAACCGCGGCCAACAAAAGGCCAGGCCACTCCGCCCGGCGGCCCGCCCGTAAGGGTCGCCGTCGCCGTGCTCGCCCTAATCGACGTGGTCGTTGTCGCCGCCCGCCCGACCCGCCCATCAGGGTCCGCCCACCAGACCCGCCCGTCAGGGTCAGCGACGACGTCGTCGTCGTCGTCGCCGACGAAGAAAAAAAAGGACAACGCGGCGATACAGTCCCGCTGGCGCCGAGCACCCCAGCAGGGCTCGGGCCGGGCGAAAGGGGGGGATAGCAAAGGGGGGGTTTGAGAATCAGCTCACGTAGCTGATTTTCCCGGCGCCTCCCGGCGCCGGAGGCGCCCATGTATCGAGGAATGGGCCCCTCGGTGAGGCCGAAACCAGCTGCATGCAGCAAATTTCGTAACCCCCCCTTTCCCAATCCCCCCCTTTCGCCCGACCCGACAGCAGGGCTGGGCCGAATCGGGTCCCACTCGGAGCGCGCGGCCCGCGGGACGGTCGAACAAAACGAGGCGAGCAGGGGCACGGCTATAGGACTCCACACCACAGGTCGGCGGGGTCGACACGCGAAGGGCGCCGCGGCCGCCATGGCGACCCTGACGTCTTCACTCTTTCACGACGTCGACCAGAAAACCCTAAACCCTAAACCCTAAACCCTAAACCCTAAACCCTAAACCCTAAATTCCCAAGCACCTCGTTGTGCTTCTGCCCACCCACCGCGCATCACCGTCGCCGTCTACGAGAGACAGGGCATCTCTGAGAAGCGTCAGCTGGTTGCCAGACTGGGTCGCCCATGCAGCCGTAGGCTGCCCCCTGGGAGTCGCGATTCAAAGATAAACTTTCCCTTGATCCTCGAAGAATATAACACCCTAAACCCAAAGACTTTTGACTTGGAATTCCGTCCTATGCTTCTCCGACACGTAAAAACACGTGTGAAGCGCTCCGAGCGCCTCTGGGCGCATGTGGGAGCGCCTGGGAAGGCTTGGGAGCGTCTGGGAGCGCCTGGGAGCGCTTGGGAGCGCCTGGGAGCGCCTGGGAGCGCCTGGGAGCGCGCGGGAAGCGCCTGGGAACGCCTGGGAGCGCTTGGGAGCGCCTGGGAGCGCCTGGGAGCGCCTGGGAGCGCCGGGGAACGCCTGGGAGCGCTTGGAAGCGCTTGGGAGCGCTTGGGACCGCTTGGACGCGCCTGGGAGCGCCTGGGAGCGCCTGGGAGCGCCCGGGAGCGCCAGGGAGCGCCTGGAAGCGCCGGGGAGCGCCTGGGAGCGCCTGGGAGCGCCTGGGAGCGCTTGGAGCGCATGGGGAATTTAGGGGCCAGCGGCCCTAAACCCTGAAAGGCTTTAGTTTGGGAGGTCGCCGGCCCTGCGGCCGGGGGTGGGAAGTGGTTGCAGCTCTGGCGCCCTTCGCCAAGCTTGATCGGGTCGGCTAAACGCCCCCCCAACCAAGCTTGCCGAAGGGGGGGCTGCCTTGCCTTGACTGTCGGCCGCTGCGCGCCCGAGAAGCCCTAAACCCTAAACCCTAAACCCTAAACCCTAAACCTGGACCCCTTCCTCAGGACCGGCGTTTCTTGACGGTTCCGGGGCCCAGTAAGGGCCCCCGGGAAACCGGAAATTGCCCAAGCACCTCGTCGTGATCGCTTCACACCGCGAGGGGGTCTTGGGAGGCCCTCCGAAGTTTGTCCCCCCTAACGTTGCCCCTGACTCTTGGCCGTCGCCGACGCGTTCCACCCCGGACGCCCGCGCCAGCAGTCTCCGCCACGCCGGGCGCGGCGCATGCGCCTGCCAAGAGGTGAAGCGCGGCGAATGCGGCAGCGGATCCCCGCTTCCGCTTGGGGGGGGCGACAACCAGACCGGGGGTCACCACGCTGGCCGGACGACCCCACCAGCGCGCTCACACAACCACGCAAACACACACACACACACACACGCACGCACACACGCACACACACACGATCACACACACATACATACAAACATACACGCACACATTGTTTTGTCGGCGGCTAGGCAGAGTAACTGCGCCAGCGGAAAAGCTATATAAACGGGGGCACCGTTGTAGCGAATCGTGCCACAATGCGCAATGCAGGAACATAGGGGGAAGACTGGGAGGGCGGCCGCAGGAGCGGGGGGAAGGACGAAGGCCGCTCAGGGAACCGGGTCACGCCCGAAGCGGTTGGCGCGGCCAGCCTCGCCTGCGGGCACTGCGGCGGCTGCCGCGCCGGGGTGCCAGCGGCGGCGGGGCCCAGTACGGGAACCGAAGAAGTCCAGCGGGTCAAGCGTACAGTACAGTCACGAGCCTGAAGACCAGGCGGTGGCTGCGCGTCCCCCACGGTGGGGGCGCGGAAAAGCGGCGAAAAGGTATCGGCAAGGGGGGGGCGCGACCAGCAGAATGCTGGGCCGGCGAAGGGTGGCGGGGATGGGGCGGCGGGCGGCAAGACCAAGCCTGGAGCCCCAGCCTGGCGGTTGCAGGCAGCAGTTCGGCGCTACGGCTGCGCGCGGAGGGAAAACGCGGGGGAACGGGCGGCAAGACCCGAACGCAAGACGGCGGCATGCAGCACCCTGGGCGCTGCGGCGGCGCGCGGAGGGAGGGGGGCGGTCCCCGCTGCCCGGGAGGACCGGGTGGGTCAGGGGGAGGGCCAGGGCCGCCGCTCGTCGCAAGGGTGGGCAGCAAGCGGCGCTCCGTGACTGGGCAAAATCGTGGCTGACGCCAGCGGCCCCAGTTGCCCGGGTGGACAGGGTGGGCCAGGTCGGGGCACCTACTCGGCGCGGGAAGGCGCGGGGCCGTACTGGCGGAGGAAGCAGCGGAGGAAAGTGGCGCCGTGCCGGCTGGGGTCGCGGGCGCCGCCGCGCAGAGCGCAATATCTGCTCCAGGCAGGTTCACCACCTGTTTGCTGCATCCTCCTGGCTTGGGCCGCCAGGACCCCCTCTGAGATGAGGAAGTCGAGCAGGGCGCGCGCTGGGACCGCAGGGCGCGCCCGCCCCTTGCCCTGGTCCCTGTATTCCGAGGTGAACGGGTCCCAGAGGGCGTGGGTGTCCAGCGAAGCGATCCAGGTGCCTTTGACAAGGAGCAGGAGCTCGCCCCGAGCCGGCGGAGGTGTCTACCCTCGCAGACTGGCGCTGGGGCAGCCCTCTGCGCTGAAGCCGCGCAGTGTCCGTCCTGGCTGGGGGAGTGCGAGGGGCCTCCAGGGCGGGCGATGGACTCCCCTTCTGATGCTTGTCGGCGATGAACCAATCGCCGGCTACCGCCACGGCCCCGGCGGGCTGCAAAGGTCGCCGCGCACCGCCCCGACTGGATTGTGCTGCTGGGTTGTGTTCGTCCCGATCGCGCTGCCTGGTTCCGCTTTCCGGCCGCGGCGACGAGGGAAGCCCGGGGCGCTCGCCAGCGACGGGGTCGGCGTCGGGCGTCGTCGTTGGGGCCGGAGCCCGCGTGGGCGTCGGCGTCGGCGTCGGCGTTGGCGTCGGCGTCGGCGTCGGTGTCGACGTCGGGGGAAACGCTGGAGCCGTCGGCTAGGGCCCGGGCCGTCTGGGTTCCGCTTCCCAGCCGTGGCGACGATGGACGTCCGGGACGCGCGACGGCGACGGGGTCGTCGTCGGCGTCGTCGTCGTCGGGGCCGTCGTCAGCGTCGGCGTCGGCGTCAGCGTCGGCGTGAGCGTCGTCGTAGTGGTGGGGGCAGCCGTCAGCGTCGGCGTCGGCGTCGTCGTCGCCGCCCCCGCCGCCGCAACTGGCGTCGACGTCGGCGTCGGCGCCGGCGCTGGGGTAGGCTTCGGGGTCGTCGTCTTGGACAAGGATCGTCGCGGGGCCGCCTTCAGGGGCACTGTCTCCGCCCCCGGAGGACGGGGGCCGCCCGATCCGCTGTCGAGGGACGGCGGGGGGATGGGGGCGAAGGGGCCTCTGCTGACCAGGGGATTGAGCGCGGGTATGTCCGCCTTTCTGGCCACCTCTTCCCAGGGCAGCGGCGCCACGCCGACCTGCAAGCCCAGCCCCCCAGCTACTGGGCGGAGCGGCAGCCCGAGACCCTCCAGGTGGCGGCGGCCGCGCGCCCCGTCGGGGCGCCTTGCCAGGGGGGGGGGGCCTCTGGGCGGGCAGCTGCGTCAGGGAGCATGGCGTGGAAAGGGCCATCCGCGTTCAGTACTTGAACCCAAAGTGCCTGGAGGCAACTCAGCGGGGGCGTCGGCGGTCGAGCTGAGGGGGCCGGCCAGCCCCACAGCCCTGTCCCAATGCCTGGTTCCGCACCCGGCATGGGCGTCTGGCTGATGCTGCGCGCCACCTTCACTGGCGAGCCCGGGGTCGCCGGGGGCGGGGCCCAAGCCCGCGGGCACCTCGCGCGCTGGCTGAACTGCATCGCTCGCACCAGCCCCGCCCCGCGCCTGGGGGCGCCGTTACTCGCGGTGGTCTCCTGTCCGACGCCCTCACTTCCTCCCCCAATCCGCCTCGGGTTTGGGGTCGCACCGACCCGGCGCAAGCGCGGAGAGACGGGCCCGATGCGCCAGGCTTCCACTGGCGCGCCCAGGGCAAGGCGCTCCGTGTCGCAGGGTGGGCATCACGGGGTCGCCGTGGCAGGGCGGGGCGATTCGGACGTTCCCAGACGGCTTCTCGTTGAGGCGCACGATGATGAGCCCGAATCCCCCCCAGCGGGCTGCGAGCGGGGCGGTCTCCGTCGCGCCAAGGGCGCCCGATAGGCCCGCATCCCCCTCCCTCCGCGCCGCGCGGAGGGCGTCCGTCAACTTGGGGAATCCTCTCTCTCTCTCCCCCCTCCCTTGCTGCAGGGTCGCACCTAACTGGCGCATGTTCGGCCATCTGGGCCTGCGCCGTCCCCGCACACAGCGGAGCCCACAGGGTGAGTGTTTCCGCGTCGCAGAGAGGGCGGCACCCTGGGGGGATCCTCTCTCTCTCCCTCTTCCCTTGCTGTGGGGTCGCACCTAACTAGAGCGCGGTCGGTCATCTGGGTTTGCGCCCTCCCCGCTGACAGCGGAACCCACGCGGTAGGGGGTTCCACGTCGCACGGAGGCGTCCGTCAGCCTGGGGGGGTCTCTCTCTCCCTCCTCCCTGGATACGGGGTCGCACCTAACTGGCGCACGTTCGGCCATGTGGGTCTGCGCCTTCCCTGCAGACAGCGGAGCCCACAAGGTGGGGGGCTCCGCGTCGCACGGGCGGCGTCCCTCAACTTGGGGTGATCCTCTCCCCCTCCTCCTTTGGTATGGGGTCGCACCTAACTGGCGCACGCTCTGCCATCTGGGCCTGCGCCCTCCCCGCAGACGGCGGAGCCCACAGCGCGGGGCGCTCCGCGCCGCGCGGAGGGCATCCCTGAAGTGGGGTCCGCTCCGTTTCCTCTCTCTCTCTTTTGCCTCGCGTCTGGGGTCGCACGCACCTGGCCCGCGAACGCGCGGCGAGATGGGCCCGATCCCTCCTCCTCCTCCTCCTCCTCCTCCTCCTCCTCCCTCTCCTCCTCCTCCTCCTCTCTCCTCCTCCGCCTCCGCCTCCTCCTCCTCCTCCTCCTCCTCCTCCCCCTCCTCCTCCTCCTCCTCCTCCTCCTCCTCCTCCTCCCTGCGGGTACCGATCCCTCCCTGCGGGTACCGGCGCGCCCAGGGCAAGGCGCTCCGCGTCGCAGGGTGGGCGTCCTGGGGTCGCCGTGGCGGGGCAAACGGCTATATCGTTGAGGTGCACTGCGGCGGGGGTCCCCTGAGGTCCCCAGCGCTCCGGGAGAAGGCTGGAGTCCGTCGAGGCGTTCGGGGTCGCCGTGGCGAGGACCTCGCCCCACGGAGGGCAGCCGTGGCACGGTGGGACGAATCGGGCGCTTCCAGACAGCATTCGTAGAGGTGCACTGTTGCGGGGGCCTCCTGAGGTCTCCAGCGCTCCGGGAGAACATTCAAGAGAAGGCTGGAATCCTTCGAGCTGCTCGGGGTCGCGCTGCTGGACTCCGTCGTGATCCGCGTTACCGTCCGTTCACACACACACACAAACACACACACACACACACACACACACACGCACGCGCAAATGTTTTGGCGTCGCGGCCCTGTGCGCAGCAACAGGGCGGAGAAAGCCTTGGAATGGCAAGCGCGCGCGTACGAATTGGAACGCCCGAGTCCTCAGAGACCACAGTGGGTCCCGCTGAACCGCAACCATAAACCAACTGGGCACGGATGGCGGGGGGCCCAGTGGTGACGTGGCTACGGTGCGGTGAAGTTGCCATTAGCAATCCGGGAGTTGATGATGGCGGGACCGAACAAGCAGTGTGGAGCGGCACGGAGACCAAGACCGACCTGACCCGCACGGGCAGGGGGTCACAAACCTACAATGAGAGCGCGCCAGGGCCAACAGGAGTCGACAGAAGGGCACCAAGGGAGGAGCAAGGAGGCCGAGGGTCTGTCTGTGGTGGCGGACGGGCCGCAAGGATCGCAAGCAGCAGGGCCGCGACTTCTGGCAAGCCGAACGGCACGCCGGAAACGGCGGCGACCGAGGTCACACACACACACACGCACATAACACAGAAAACGAAGAAAGCATGGGTGAGCAGACCCAGCCAAAACAAAAACACTAGATATGGCATGAGCATGAAGTTATACGTACATACAAACACTTACATACACGTACATACGTACATACACACATACAAACGTACGTACATACCTACATGCATACCTACATATATGCATACCTGCAAGCATACATACATACCTACAGACATGCATCCATCCATCCATCCATCCATCCGTCCATCCATACATACATGCATACATATATCACATACATTACATACATGACATACATACATATATACATGCATACATACATACATACATACACACACACATACATACATACATACATACACACATAAATACATACATACATCCATGCATGCATACATACATACATGCATACATACATGCATGCATGCATGCATACATATGTACATACATACATACATACATACATACATACATACATACATACATACATACATACATCTATACATACATACCTACATACCTACATACATACATACAAACATACATACATACATACATACATACATACATAGATACATACAATACATACATACATGCATGCATACATACATACATACATGTATGCATACATACATATAAACATAAATGCATACACATACATACATACATACATGCGTACGTACATACATATATACATACATACATACATGCATACATACATGCATACATACATACATACACACATACTGGAATTCATACATACATACATACATTCATACATACATACACACGTACTGTAATTCATACATACATACACACATACATACATACATACATACATACATACATACATAGATACATACATGCATGCATACATACATACATACACGCACACATACATACGTACACGCACGCCAAACAACTACACTCAGGCAGACAGACAGGCGATAGACAAAATGCCCTTTCCCTTCTGGGCCAGACATGCTACGGATCGCATCGCGCTCCCATCTGCCCAACAACTCTAGGGAGGATAGAAGATCGAGAACTCATCGAAAATAGTCGAGCCCTCCACGTGGCGCCCTGTGCCGACGCCAACATTGCTCGAGTCTGGCCAAAACCCGTCCAGTCAGAGCGATCCGGCGTCTCATGGTAGCGGAGCCGATCCACGGACGCGCGAGGGCAGCGCAGCCACTGCTCAAGTCTGAGCCCTCAAGTGCTCGTCCGTGACGGCCGTCACCACCCTGAAGCCCAAGGCGTTCAAGAACCGTCGGGCGCCCTCCCCGCTCAGCACCTTCGTGCCCAAATCAGCCGGGTTAGCCTTGCCGGGAACCTTCCGCAGGTCCAGCCGCTTGGCCTCCACGGCGTCCTGGAGCCACAGAGCTGGAGTAGCTACGTGGCGCGCCCCTCCAGCCCCGCGGCGCGAAGCCAATGCTGTGGCCGCGCTCGAGTCGGCGCCCATGCGAGCGGCCAGCTGCGCGCCCATGTCGCGGGCCAGCGCCACGCAGCCCAAGGCGCGGCAGGACGTCCGCAGTGACGAATTAAACTCGGCCTCGCCTGATGACAGCGCCACCGCGGCCTGCGTGGATGCCGCCACCTGCAGGGTGCGCCGGCCATGGCGCATGACTTAGCTGCTGGTCGAGCGCCTCGTCACCGGGCACCCTGCCCAATCGGAATCGGACAGCCCCTCCAGCCTCGACGCCGGGTGTTGTCGTTCGAAGACTCACTGCAGCCTCGGCGCCTTGAGCAGGTAACGCGTCACGTGCTTCAGGTGCTTCCATGCGTTCACCGTCGGCCGGCCCACCGCCCTGCACAGCTCCTCGGAGATGAAGGCGACGTCGGGGCGGTCCAGCGCCAAATAGGCCAGGCGCATCACCGCGCTCTTATAGATAGGCACTTGCTCGGCCTCCAAGTCCGCGCCGAGGAGCGGGCGCTTCTTCTTGCAGTAGTCTTGTCCGACACCGTCGCCCGAAGCGAACTGCGCGTCAACGGGCCCTTTGCTCGGCGAGGATCTCCACGCGCCGCGCCTCGCCCTCCCAAGTAAGCTCGTCCGGGGCGAACGCCGTGGCATCCTTCCACGCGATCAGCTGGTTGAGCAGCCTGATAGACTTCAAATCGTGAAGTCCTGGGCCCGTGGAGCCGCGGTCCTTCGCGATGAGGTCCTTCCCCAGCTGCTCGCGCGCCCAGGCCGTGCCGGCCCTGCTGTCCAAGCCGATGAAATCGCCCCCTTGCACCACGTGGATCAGGTGCGTGTGGGGCGCACGAAGACGCAGGGACTGTAGACGCCTCGCACGAAGCCCATGGCCTCGAGCAGCTCTCTGACCGTCTTCTCGAAGGCTTGGAGCGCGTCCCGCAATCCATACAGAGAGCGCTTCAGCAGCCCACAGTGGCCTGGAGGAACTCCAGACTCGGGAGGGGGATCTACGTATCTACGTACAAGATCAGGGCATCGCAGTGCGGGTGCGCTCTGGAGATGCCCAAGCAAGAGAAGACGCGGTCGTCGCCCACGGCCGACCGAGCCGTCGCGCACGTGGAGAGGACCAGCCGGATGGCCTCCAGCGGCGGCGTCGCGGAGAAGACGGCGGCAACGTCTCCAGGAAAGATGCTTCTCCCGCGACGCGTCTCTTGCATCGCGACCCTGCTGCGCACGTCCATCCTGCTGGAGTCTCCCTTGTTGCACTCGGCCCACGGGGTCCCCAAGGGAGGCTCCCCAATCCGGTCAAACGCCTCTGCCCTGGGACGGAACTCCCACGCGCCCAGCTGATCCATGAATGAACTGGATATCCTCGTGCCTGGTCTTGAACGCGACGTCTGGGTCCAGCCGCAAGCCTGTGTACTCGTCCCACGCGGCTGTACGCTCGAGCGACTCGTTGGCCGTCGCTGAGCTGTCCGGCTCCGGGCCTGGCAGCTCGGGCGCCGCGTCGGGCTCGTCCATTTGCGGGCCCACGCCGACTTCCTCCGCGCGAAGCGGAAGGAGTCAATTCATCAAATTGCGGAGTATCGCAGTGACTAGGGCAGGTGGGTAACTTTCAGCTCCTTTGGCACCTTCGCGAAATAACCAGACGCGTCGATGGTCGCGAGAGCACTGCCGCCCCACCACGTCTCTAAGGTCGGCGAGGCTGGTCAAACAGCCTGTTCGCTTGCGCGCGAGGCCTCGGCCTCAGATGCCGGCCCAGCCCTGGCCTTTCGCCTCCTGGCCGTAGGCGCACTTGTCGCAATCGGTCAGCCCCACCCCCTCCAGCGCTCGCGCCGCCTTGACGACGGGCAGCCCCCAGCTCGCCGCCGAGGCCGGGTGCTCGTGAAGGAAGTGACGTTTCCTCAACACCTGCCACTTCTAGACAACACAGACGAACTCCAAATGCTCGTGCGTTTCCTCATGCCTCCGCCTCCTCGCCAGAGCACTCTCTGGTCCGGGTTGCAGGCTCTGGAGCGCGGAGGAGACAGCGCAGAGCGGGCTCCCAATGATGAGCTCGGGCTGCTCTGCCTCCAGCTGAGCCCAACACCTCCTCTCCTCGGCCTTGCTCAGTTTCCACCCCCCGCTGAGGTCACGCCGTGCCAGGCGCCGAGCCAAACGCCGTCGCACGGCTCGCAAACCTCTCCAGGTTGAACAGCTCGGATACGTCCACCGCGCTGAACTGGCATGCGCGCAGCTCCTGCACCTCCTTGATGAGCTCCGCCATGTTCCGATCCATGGGAGCCGCGGACTGCGCAGAATCGTCCGCAGCCGGCGCTGCAGACGGCGCCGCCCCCTGCGACGCCTCGCCAGGAGCCGCGCTCGACTCCGGCTCTGGTGCCCGAGGGTCTCCCTCCGAGACGTCGGGATGAGCTCTCTTCACTTGGCGAGCGTCGACACCCATGCCTCCTGCCGGAACGCTGGGCTGACCCGCCATGGAGGCTCGCCCGCCGGCTTCTCCTCCTCTTCTTCGCGCCTCTGCGCTTCCTGAGGCCTGCCCGCTGCCGGCCGCCGCCGTTCCCCCTCCCGGCTGAGGTCCTCCTGGCGCGGCTGAGGCAGCCGCGCTGGCAGAAGACGGCCCTGATGCTGCCGCCGCCGCCGCGGGCGCCTCTGGAGCACCTGCAGCCCCCAGGGCCTCTGCCACTCGGTCGCGACGGCGGGCAGCCCCCTCGAGGCGCCATGTGTCTCCCGCCGGCGCCATGGCCTGAATGATCCGAGCCCTGCACTCGGGCGAATGATTCTTCGGCCGCCATCCTGCGGCCGCCGCTGAGCAGCCTTCGCAGCCCACCGCGTAGCCATACCGCGCCAACTCAACATCCTTCCTGATATAAGCTTACAGCACCCTGCGAGGTGCAGCATCCTCTAGCCGCTGTGGGAGATCCACCGGAGTCGCCTCGCGCCTGATGGAGATCGCGCCAGACGGCTGCGCCGGCGCCTGCCAGTCCAACGGCGCGCCGCGCATCGCGAACACCAGCTCCGCGTCCCCGCGGAGCCCCAGTGCGAGGCTCTTGAACACTCGAGCCTAATGGATGCCGTCAGGCATGCCAATCAAATAGTGGTCACTGCCCATGCCGCTGTTCTCGACGCCGAGGAAGATGCCCTCCTTCCAAGCCGTTCAACCCAAGGCAGGCCTTTTGCCCAACCCTAGCCACAGCACCTTCTCGCCGAACTGCGCGAAAAGGGCCGCCTCCATGGGCAACCTGTTCTGAGCTCGTAAGCGGTCTTACCGCCCACGCCCTTCCAGCCGAGATTGACCGAGGCCACCGCCCAGAGCACGAGCCACGCAAGCATCGCGTGGTTGTCCGGCACCTGCTTCCCCAGCTACTCCTCGAAGTCGAAACGGATAGTGCGCGCCTTGGCCTCAACCTCACTGACGGCCCCTTCGGCCAAGCCATTGCCTTGGCTCTCGCCCCTGCGAACCGTCTCCTCGAGCAGTTCCCTGCCCGTCTCCAGGATGCGCGCATTGCCGGCTGTGCGCCCAAGCGCCACCATCGCCGGCTCCCCGTCGCTCCTCGCAACGATCTTCTGCGCGCCGACGTTCTTCAGCTCTTTCTGCGAGAACTCACAGCCGCACTGGGTAAAGCCCTTCTGCCGCAACAGAGTGCCCAGCAGCCAGCGGTCAGCTCCACGCCGACCTGCAAGAAGAGGACAAGCCCCTGGAATCTCCTCATGCCCCCCCTCGGCCTCACCGGCCGCCGTTGCCCGAGGTACCGAATAACCAACATAAATTCCCCACGGCTGGCACCGAACGAGATTCTCGAACCTGGCGCGCGTCTGCTCTGTCTCTGCCTGCGACGCACGCCCTGCGGCAGCTCCTGCATGGTTCATGCGAAGCCTCATGAGCCTCACTCCTCTGGCGTGGGCTCCGCAGGAAGTCTGCGCCCAGGCACCGCCGCAACCTCCTCAGCCTCACGAGCGAGCTCCTCAGCGCCCTCCTTCCTCGCTTCCTCCTCCTGCGCGCCCTCCCTCCTGGCCAATCTCCCGCTCGACTGGCGCAACATCGAGGGGGCCCGCGGCCGTGTTACCCCCGCGACGCTGGCGCCGCAGCGGGGCGAAGCCCTCCCGGCCTCAGCGCCGTGGCGTACGGCTCCACCTGGTAAGACACCTCGAAGACCCCATTTTGCCTCTCGATCTCCTTCACGCGGCCAATCTGGAGGTGCCTGATCACGCTCCCCTTCGGCGACAAGATCACCTCATGGCCAGTGTCCACCAGCTGCGAGACGCTGAACAAGTTCTTGGACACGCCAGCCACCGCAGTCCTCACGACCCGGTGGCCCTGGCCGTCCTTCAGCGTGATCTCCTTGTTGCCCATGTCGGCAATGGCCTGCCCATTGCACGCCCTCAGACAGCGCTTGCGCGCGCCCGTCATCGGGTAGTCCGCCGCAGCGTCCGAGCGATTTACTGTCAGCGCCGCGCCGCTGTCCACCCCGAAGCGAAGCTCCTCCCTCTCAGAGCCACCGCAGTGAGCTCGAAGCCCTGCTCACAGCACTTGCACAGCTCGTGCAGATCATCCTCACAGCAGAGCATGCACTCCTCATCCTCCTCCTCATCGGCCTCCTCCGTGAGCGCATTGAGGTAGAGCCCTCCCAGCTGCACCTCTGGCTCGGGCTGTTGCTGGTCCTGCCGGTACTCCTCCTCCTGGGCATGTCCTCCTCCAGCCTCGTCGAGGCCTTGGACCGCTTTCCTCCAGCAGTCCTTGGCATAGTGGCCGTACTTGCCACACTTGTGGCACTTGACCTGCGACATGTCCTTGCCATTCATGCCACCCTTGCCGCATTTGGCGTCCTTGCCGCCTTTAGCGCCCTTGCCGCCTTTGCCTCCTCCGCTGGAGCCCGCGCTGCCCATGCCACCTTTGCTACCTTTGCCGCTCGCGCCGGCCTTGCTACTCTTCGGCGGGTGCCGGCAGTTCCGGCCGTAATGCCCGACCTTGCCGCAATTCCAGCAAGCGGCCTTCGCCTCGTACCCCACGGCGCCGAGCTCCATAGGCGCCGGGCCGTTAGCCAGCGCGAACACCCGCATGACCTGAACCAGCTCGTCCCTGAAGAGCTGCAAAAGTGCTGAGGCGCTTCGAATTGAGCAGCAAGTGAGACTTCACTGGGCCCTCCAGGAGGCCGTTCATGACCATCCCGATCTTGAGGTCCTCC